GGGGGTAAGGGAGGGTGGGGGGCTGGGTTGGACTGGCAGGGCTGGCTGGTTAGCTTGGTCGGTTAGAGCACAGCCTTATAACACCAAGGTTATGGGTATGGATCCTCACACTTGGCAGCCACAAAAAAAAAAAAAAAAAGAAAGGAAAAAGTCAGCTGTGCTCTAGAGAAGGCTGGGATTTAGGACAGGAAATTTGAGTTCAGGTTCCAGAACTCTATGAACAAAGACCCACCATTTCGTTGCAGTGTCCACATCTGAAAAATGGGGGTACTGATCTTATCTTGTAGAGCTGTTGGTCAAGATCACAAGATCTTGTCTCAGAACTGTGTCTGAAACATGCGAGAGGCTAAAAACATGATACCTGCTTCAAGCTGTGCATAATAAAGCCAGTCTCTATCTGAGATTCTGTAGTCAGGCCATCAGACCTGTCCCAGACTGACAAGCTCCTCTGCAGGTAGAGACCCAGGGCTACGTGTCTGTGAAGACATGGCAAGGCTGGGAGTGTCCTGTCTGTCCCTCTCTCTCAGTGTGACCCCAGGTGAACCCCTTGGCCTCTGTGTATCCTGGGAGGGGCAGTGTCTCTGGTGGATGGGCACGTTCTGGAACCAGACTGCCTGATTTTGCATTTTGACTTTGTAGCTGACCTTAAGCAAGGTATTATCCTCTCTGTTCCTCAGTTTCCTTATCTCATCTGTAAGATGGAGATTCTAAAGCATCGATGTCAGAGGCTTGTGGTAAGCGCTCAGTGATGCTCTCAGGAAGTCTCAGCCATCAGTAAGCTGTAAAGAAGGACAACAAGTGTCCTGACTCTAGAGGGTGTCTGGTATAGACTTAAATGACAAGCACAAGTGTCATGGGCCACCAAGGACCAGAGCACTGTAATGTTACCCTCTTACTTCCACATCCCTCTGGAGACATATGACACACCATACAGACAGGGTTGTGCACACAAGTACAGCCCCCAGGCCAGCCTCACCCCTGCCTACCCCTCCGAGGAATGGCAGACACAGGGCTCTGCTGCTGTCCTTCTCCTAGGCCAGAACAAGGCCCTGGATCTCTCTACCCAGGTTTGAGCAGATGACATGGGTGCTCCTGTTCTCCTTGTCTCCTCTGAGTTTTCTCCATACCCCATGAGGCTGTGCACTTCCATCCCAGAACCCGTCTTGGGCTTGGACTCAGAGGACCCCACCGAAGGCAGGTTATAGGGCTCAGCCTGGCCAGAGGTTGTTCCCTGCTGAGGGGCTCTGGTTAGGCTGTGGGCTGAGGCTGGAGGCATGGTCTCAGGAGGGAGGATCATTGTCCATCTGCCTTCCGTGACCTGCATCAAGCTTCC